TTTAAGATCCTGAAAGGATTTTATAACGTTCCTGAATTCAACAACTTTTTCATTAAAGCCACGGAGTTTAGACTTAGAGGACACGCGTTGAAACTGGTGAAAGAGAGGACAAGGACAGGACAATGTTCCCATTTTATTGTGAACCGAGTGGTAAATACATGGAATACACTTCCTGCACTTTGTGTGCAAAAGGAAACTCTGAGCACCTTGAAGGATTGTCTGGATAGTCAATTTTATTTTACAATCAACTTTATTTTATACCGATGTAATGATATGTGTACAACAGCTTGTTGCTGCCACCATTAATAAATTAATAATAATAATAAAAATAATAATAAAAAATATGTTTTCAGGTGCTTAAGTCTTGCAATTACATTCTCGTTATGATTAGTTGCAGACGTAACAGCACTTTGTGCCTCAAAAGTAAAGTCTTCTGGAGAGACTTGACAGTTCAATGTCATCTCTGATTCTGTTCAACAACTCAAAGATTTGGATTTTACTGGATTTCGTAGGTGTTTGTGACCTCTTCAACTGCAAGAAGATTTTTAGATCTTCCTTAGTTTCAAAGGCGACACTCTCACGATTCCCTGCCCCCTTGTAGTAGTTTAAAACAGGTAAGTGGACACCTGCAGATAGGGGCAGAAATTTTTCTTTTCTCCCGAATTCTATTGTAAAGTTTGAAAATCATCTAACAATACATTGAGGATTACAGTCTGCTAGAACTGTTTCAAAGACTGGTGCATGTGGAGAGGAAATACACCAATTTTGAACCTGAAAATAGGGATGTTTGATGTCTGTACTCCATTTACTTAGCACTGAATTCTGTAAACATCAGAAAACTCCATTGCTTAAAAAAAGGTTTTCATATCTTTGTCAGATTCAGTCACAAAGTGATTGTGATTTACTAAAATTTTTGCAGAGATTTAGTGTGGATGGACATCTGATCCTGGAGGTCAATCATTTCTTCTAATTTTAAGACTGTTTTTTTATTTGTGAGGTTAATATTAAAGGTGAATTGTTCCGGGGTGCTGACAAACCACTGCCTGGGACTTCAATAACTTTTCTTTATTCATGGAAAAGTTTTATGGTGCTTAAACTTTTCATTGATTTCCCTTCAACGCAATGCATTTCCAAAAATGAAACTTTATTGGCTTGTAATTTTCCTTACAAAAAAACAAACAAACACAAAAATTGTTTTTGTCTGCAGTCCTTTCATTTAGACTCCTCTTCCTTACGAACGAGGACTGGGGCAGAGATTTATGTCCACATGAGGATACACAGTTCATCCCCATGGTCTCCATTCATCACAAATCCTAACAAGGGGACACACAATAGCGACAGGTTTTCCACGGGGATGTAGAGAGTCAGGTCTTTTCCTCCCTGCAAAATTACAGGGGTACATCATGCCATCTTCCACACACCCTGGAGTTCAGTCAGAGACCTAGTCTATTAGCTCCCGAATGCCCGTCTAGAAGAGATTGAGTCCAAAGAGGCAAATTTGACCTCTTTCCAGTACATATTTCCATAGAGTCGCCAGGACTTACCAAAGTTTGCAGAACTGCACTCAATGGAGTCCACTACAAGCTCCAATGACTAGGTGACACACCAGTGTGCACAGATGCCTCAACTACAGGTTGCCTAATCCCTTTGACTCAGGTTGCCATGCAAGGCAAAGACACGAGTGAACATTCAGCATATAGAGAAGGACAGCGATGAAAGAATGAAGGCAACATATGAAATGGACTGACAGAAAGAAAATTGAAGATGGAGAAACGAACACATGAGATCCTTCAGAGATGCTGGCCTATATACAATACTTCCATAATTCAAAACAGAATGGATGAGGGTACAATATGATCGAAAAGGATGTTTGTGGCCTGAACCTCATGAGCTACCAATAAGGTGAAAAAGAGGTTCAATGGTGAAGCCAATCATCTTTTCAATTTATGTATGAATTTTCACCCTTTTAATCTGTCAAATGTAAGGTGAAGGAAAGTTTCAAATTTAACACAAAGTTGATTGCCTCCAAGAAGATATGGGTGGGCAGGGAGGTAATGTATCATGGAGAAATGACAGCAAATGGATTTTGAGAGCGAAACTTGACTCAAATTTTATCGCTCCTGACTAGCACTGTTACTGACTAGTTGTAATTGCCTTTCAATAACAAGTATGCTTTTGGAATAGGAAACAAAAGTGAGAGGAGAGGTCAAGGAAGAGGTAGGAAAGTTATGTGCATTCCATGGCCTGTTTGTTAACGCTTCAGCATTTACTTGGTCAGGGAGAAAAATCATCGGAGAAACTAAGGAAAACTACTGGCGGCTGGTAGAATTCTTCTCCAGATAGTCGCTAAATTCAACCTAGCTATCTATGTAGTGTTGAAAACCTGCCACCATCAAGACTAGAATCTAGGACCTTCAACAGCTGTTGCAGTCAGCAATCTCAGCTGTTCACTTTCCTTGATTTGATGTACTTTCCCAAAAAATTTAGAGATGGAAAGGTCAGAAAGACATAGAAGATACTCTCCAGGAGGCTGATTTACTTTTCAAATGGAAAGCTCGGGATCAAGTTCCTATATGGTCAAGTCACTACCCTATTGAAAGAAGAGTCATCAATGTACATGAAGATACGGTCAGGATAGACCACTTTCATATACTGAAAAATTGCCTTGAATACAAGAGGGGATGCATGGTTGGGAAAATTGTATAACAGCAGATTCAATAGGGAGGTCAAGCAGCCATCAATATCCTGCAACAGATTTTGAAAACAGAAACCTGGAGGGCAGGGGCAGTGTTGTTCGAAGAGCATCAAGTCTCAGCACAATCAAAAGCCCAATGGAATAGATGGTTTGAGACTCATAATTTAGCACTATATTGCCTTATCAGAATGGCTCTTCTTTTCAGAGAGGCACACCATTATCAGCTAAAAGGCAGTAAATTCTACAAGTGCAGTACGTATCTGTGAATATGCAATTACTGGAATTATGAGTATTTTGAAGGGTCTGAGAATGGAAGGAGCTGGAGATCCATAAACATTGTTATCATAGACTATAACTGGGTGGATGAGTCGCCTATACAGTCATAGAAGGCAAGTGCAGTCGATGCACTGCTGAGGGTTCACAGGAGATTTTAGACCATCATTTTGTCTTCCAACAAATGTGGGCACATCACATAAGGGTTCCATCAAATGTCAGTCCTATGAACTTGGCAGAATCAATGAATGGAAACTGATTCCCTCCAAGGTAAAGATTTCTGGTCTGAACTTCCATGCAAGCAGAGTGTCCTGCAGACGTTTTGTGTACTACCATTGGATTCATGTTGGTGGAAATGCCCCATTCATAGTTTATTTTCGACCAGTTGGAGTTGCCTTTGAATGCCAGTGATACTACTGGATGAACAAAGAATGCAATCGTCAATGAATGGAGATGCTTCTATAGTTTCTTGCATGTCTGATGTTATACCATTCATGACGAAGGCAAACAAGAGAGGCATTTGACACAATTGGTGTTGCCCGTAACATGAGATGGTCTCGATCTGATCAGGGATTTTGTGATGATGATGACAACGATGATGATGATGATGATGATGATTTTAGTTTAAAAAATTACCTCTCGCTGATCAACATCATTCACCAGTATAATTTTTCCTCCTTTGTCAGCAGAACCAAAAATCCCTAAAACTTTTTTCCGAGGCTCTTTAGTTGTAATGAATATGCCTTTTTCCACAACTGCTGGAGGAGCAGCAAGAGATTCCCATGTATATTCCCAATCCACCTGTAAGAAAAAGAATAATTATTAGAGACTTGAAAAGATTCATTTACAAAATCTGCATTAAATACCAATTATCATCTTCATTCATGAAAGAGTTGCAGAAAATGACTACCATTTTTAAAATTTTAGTACAGCAACTAAATAACTTTGAGTCTTACCTTTCTAAGAAAATAATCAAAAGCCAATTTATTACTGTTACCTTGATAGAAAAAAGACACTTCAATGTAATGTTTATATTTTTCTTCTTTTAACACCAAACATTTATTAGAATATTTCTGTATTAATTTTTTAAGTTAGCATTTTATTTACAACACTCACCCCCCCCTCTAATCTGTTCAAAGATTTGCCTATAAATTCCTCCAATAATAAATTTAACTCTATTCATCTTCAGTTCAGCCATAGGGTTTCAGGATTTTCAAGATTGTGGATCGTCATTACTGACACTGTGGTTGTTCCAATTTTATGTTGCACATAGATCCAGACTCCTGCACCTCTTTTGTTTACTCTGTCTCTTTGGTGGATAGAAAAATCTGGGATATGTATCAGACTGTCAGGAATGTTGATATTATGCCAGGATTCTATGATTACTATTATGTCGGGTTTCACAGTATTGACTTTCTCCAGAAATTGATCGAACTTCGGAACGAGAGATGTAGGTATACAGAATTATTGGGTTGATTGTTCTTGTTGTTGCCCATCCGCTTTTCTCTTCTTGTCAAGAATCATTGGGTTACCTCTAATATGCTTGATAATAAGGTTAGGGTTCACTTTTTGTTTAATTGTCAGTTGTTTCCTTAGATCTTTCAGCTCTTATCTCTGAAATGGAGTAAGATCATTGTTGACCTTGATTCCTTTCGGTAGTTTTGTACTCTCAGTATGATTTTGGCTGAATCAGTATCTTTCATAACTATCTTAATAGGTCAGGGTTTTGAATTTTCCTGGCTCAGTTTCTGCAGTTGCATTGTGTACATCACATGGCTCTGAATATCCATATCCAAACAACTCCGAACGTTCCCAATAGTTGTTTGATTTTGGATTTGATGATCCTTCATATCAGTATAGTCTGCTTCACCTAATATATAAAGGATTACATTTCTTTTGCATAGGTTGTGTTCCTCTATCTTTCTAAGGAGTTCAAGATTTAACTTTGGGACCATGCCAGCCACTTTAATATCATGCAATTCATTCAATATTTCTCCAACCTCATCGAAGGTATCTTTTTGTAGTTTGTATCACATCTTTTTTCAGTTTTTCTCATTTTTCACTGCAGTTATCAATAACTGAGGATGGCCTCTTAATTGCATCATCTAACAGTTTTTTTACAACCTTCATGATATCCGTCAAGCTTTCTCCCAGATTGTTTGTTAAATCTAATTCAAGTTTAGAGATTTTGTCACTCAATTTCTAATTTGTGTTTTGGTTCATTGTAATCTGATATGGTTGGTTTTGATTCACAAAACTTAAGTTCTTCCGTTCCGAGTTCATCCTTATATGTTTTGTGCAGCTTGGATGATACGACGTGTTGCAGTTCTTGCAGTTTCTTATGGTATTCAATATAAACTTTTCATGAGTTTTTGTCGCCTGTCGCCAACACAATAACATGCACTTTTTTATTATTTCAGGTGCAGTTGTGATTTTTGACTTTTCTTCGCATGGGTCATCTTTGAAGAATGTGTAACCACGTTTAAATTCAGCTGACCACTTTTTAATAGTTGACATGGAAGGAGCCCCCATAAACTTCCCCATAAACTTTTGACAACTTCGGATGAATTTCCTTAGGGGTTAATCCATCCAAAACTAAGAATTTGATTACTGCACGATATTAAAGTTTATTCATTTTCACAAATAACACACAAGACATATCTTGCAAAAATTCCTGTAAACAAACTACTTGAGAGAAAATGTTGAAAGTTGTCATACAACAGGTATACAAATGACAAGTGCATCCAGGCAGGGTAATTAATTTTTTGCTGATTGAAGTGCCATCTCTGGTTCAGGCCGAGAACTTTTCACTTTGCCTCTGTACTCTGAGTAAATTGATTTTAATTCAGCGAAAAACTTGTTTTTTTTTAACTCTTTAACTATAATTTTCAACATCAAAAAATTTCTATCCCCGAAGGCAGTTTTGCCTATCTTGATCCACTACCCCTTTGAAGGTATTTCTTCACAATGTTAAATAATGTAATATATTTGAAGTTTTGTGAGAGAGGCTCAAGACCACTCATCTTCTTACCTGCCAACCTCCAAATACATCATTATGTACAACGTACATAATACGTTTGTCAGTCAGCAACAAGACATCCTTCGCTCCAACCACAATTCCCATGTGAAACATATACACATCAGTGGAACTATAGCGCCCTTTCTCCAATTCCTATCAAAACAGAAACAAGTTTGAAAAAATAGGCTTATACTTATAGATTTATAAGATTTATATAAAAGTTTATAATGAATTGATAATCAAAATTACACCAAGAAAAACAGTTTTGTAGATCAGTGTTAACACAAAACTTAAAACACTAAGTCATAAAATTATATCACAAAATCACTGCATTCATCATCAAGGATTAAGAAAGTAGAAGAGTTGTCACAGGATAATCCAGATATTTATGGCAAAGACCTGGATGTGCCTGATCAGGATTTTATGTGCCTAATTGCTTTCATCTTAGACTTCATGGCAGTTATGAATAAAAAAAATACTGCTATATATGGGATATTGGACTGACCTTCGGTGCATGCCTTAACTTTAACCTGCATATTGAATAAATTTGCTGTAAGGCAGAAGGATGTTGAATTTGTGCTGAGAAACTCTCAAACCTTCCAAAATATAAAGACTTACATGTTACTATTTTCTGTCTTCGATAAGTCTATCTTGGAATATGGAACAGTAATATGAACACCACAAACAACTCCACCTTACTAGAAGAAGTTGAAAACAGATTCCCATGACATCTAGCATATATTGACCGATGTCTATACTAGACCATAATTATGAGAACATACAGATGCGACTAAATATTCCCACACTCTTTACGAGAACATTGTTTCATGACTTTATTTTTTTGCATTTTATCATCACAAATAATATTAAATGTCCTGATATCTCGTTTCAGCTATAGTTTCTCAACACAACAACAGACCTCACAAGCCTTTCTACATAAGATGCAGCAGAGCAAATTATTTGTACTTTGACATTTTCAACAGACTCTTACGTGAAGCCAACAAAATATGTGCAAAATTGATTCTTTCCATAGACACTACAATGTTACGCAACTCTTTAAAAATTTCCTTAAACAAATAACTGAATATTATTTGATATTCTTTGTTTTCCTTTACAAAATTTCTGATATGTATACTTAATTATTACTTTCTGATGTACATTACTTCTTCTTTCAGATGTGAATTACTTAATACAGCCTTTGCAAGGGATATTCCCGAAAAAAAATGAATAAATAATTCAAATTTTTGAAAGTTCCAACTTTTTAAATTCTATTCAAATTAAAAAGAAAACACCTCCTTATTTATAATCACATTATTTCTTTGAATATGTACATTAACATACATCTTGTCAGTCACCTTTTAAAATATCACATCTAAACCTAGTAACAATCCATATGGCTCAAAATGTTTGAACTCTTCATCCTTGGATTGTCCCCTGCCCTGGGAAGGTAAGATAATTTATGACAAATATTGTTATGCGTAGCCATTACTTTCCGCATTACAAAACTGAAAAACACTTGCTTTACACTGGACTTGAACCCAACTTCCAGCTTCAATGAAGAATTATTACTATTCAGCAATCATCACAATGAAAAACTGTCTTAATACCTGAAGTTTGGTGTACATACAATTACATCAAATAAAGAGCAGGAAATGATCTGGACTTAATAACATGTAGGTAGATGGATTCAGCCTAACATACAATTGATTTGGTCCTTACTTCAGGATTGGTTATTCATTTCATTATAATGTTCTGCTTATATACTTTTAGACAAAGCATTGAAGTAAAACAACTGAGCAATTGAAACAAAATCAGAAAAATTAAAATGAAACTTAGTCAATTCAAGAAATCCTACCTATGTTTCCAGGAGATGTGGAGGATATGGAACTATCCTGGAGATAAAAGGTCTTATTAAAAAGAACATTAATTAATGTATAATGTCCTCTCTGACAGAATTCCACTAAGAAGTAAACTAAATAAGTAATCATTGATAAAACAAGTGGGGTATATCAAATGGATACCGTAAACAGACAACCCATTGCACATCCCTTCAGGATTCCACCCCATATGGAAAAAAATATCTTGACAGCTACAGTTCTCAAAAATTGAAGTCATCACTGAAAGAGATGCACAACTGGTATTCCGTGCAGAAGGAATACAAAAATAAAAGTCAAATTCTATTATCTACAAAATACACTTACCGCTAAAAGTTTGTTGCCCTGTGCTTCATACAATACATATGGTCGTACTTGGCCATCAGGATGCATAAATCGAGGAGGTCGTAAGCGAGTTACTTCTTCACTAGGATCAGCAGCCCTGCAAATAAAGAATTTACATTGTTTTTATCTTAGTCCACATTTTAGAGGTGGGAATCAATCCAAATCCATGAAATATATAAATCTTCCTTACTTAGTGTAGTTTATTTGCAAATTCACTTACAATATAGAATACAACTGGAAACATTCTGAAAGTCATAATCTGACTGACTCATTAATCAATCCCCCACACACCCCAAAACCCCCTCCCACACTCCCACATGCACGCACGTGTGCGCACACACACACACACGCACACACACACCCACACAAAGAAGAGGGGGGGGGAAAAGGAATATTAGAATAAAGTGAACTAGTACAAATGCGCAGCACACTGAAATTTATTATGATAATTTATTATAAATTATGAGACAATGTCATTTGAACATTTCCAAAAGAGCACAATTTCGAGGTAATTTTCACAGAACACTTTGAATTTTCGAGAAATTTCATATGAAATTATTTAAAGTATCTGTGCAAAAGCAATAATGTACAAAAAATACCTGTAATGAAAATATTAATGACATGAGGGATATGTAAAAAAAATATATTTATGTAACTTGAAATATCAAACAAATACATCAAAATGGGGCTTTTGTCATTTCATTCAGTGCATTTAGCACTCTCTGTACCAAAAGTTTAAAGAAAAATTTTGAGGCATTTTCTTTTTAAAATCTTGTTTTTAATATTGTCAATATGTCACTCGAGCTTGGGAGAAAACTAGCAATATTTTCAAAATATGTACAATACCTTAGTTCCGTTTAACCTGATATTGGATGATCTGATGAAGAGATTATGAAAAATGCTGACATTGTGTATTCCACATAGTGTGTTGTGTGTTACAATCAAATCACCTCATTCTCTCCTCTTTTAGGCTGAGTAGCTTCAAGTGTCTGCATCTATACTCCTATCACACTCTCTTAGCCCTCTTGGAATTTTAGGCAACAACCTCTGTGATTTTTCAAAAAATTAGAAATCTTTTTCGTAACCAGGGAACCAGACTAGATTGGTATATTTTAGCATTGGTCTCCTGTGTGCCACATAGGCTTCTCGAGCCGTCTTCAGTCTCTTCAGCATCTTTTTGTGCTGCCATGTTGACAGCAAACACCTTCCATATCAGATAAATCGACTTGGATGTCTTTTTTTGTCACAGCTCGAACATGACTTTCCCACTTCAGATCCCAGATGATATTCACTCCAAGGTTCATTTGCAATTTTGTTGACACAATAACATGAAAGCTGATGGTATAAGCAAGAACAGGGATGTTATTTCGTACATGTAGAACCTTACACTTCAAATCATTTACTGGTAAAAGCCAAGAATCATGTGCACAGTACTTCCAATCCCATTTGAGCTGGTCTCCAATGTCAGCAGTGTTCAAAATAAATACTGAACCAACCACTTGTACCTGGAAAGTTCTATTTTTAAGATATTCCCTAATCCTAACTAAAAGGTTTTCATTCAAACCTATACGCACCAGTTTACAAAGCAGTCTTTGATGTGGAATCTAATCAAAAGCTTTTGTTAAGTAAGGTATATGTATCTATTGTTTCCCTGATATTTAAAGCTCTCGTCCAGATATTTAGAGTGCACAAAAGGTTTCATACAGCGGCCTTGGACAAAACCGTGCTGTTGCTCAGGGATGAGATTGTTTCTCTTTGCAAATCCCTGTATTCTCGAAGCTGTAAAGCTTTCTCCAACCCTTCCTTCTTAACTTGTAAGGCTGATTGGCCAGTATTTCTTTTATTTTTACTTTCTCGCTTCTTAAAAAAATAGGGTAACATTGGTGTGTTTTCAAGACATTCGTATCTTGGAGTTATACATACATTTATTAGAACTGCAATTGGGTATGACCCGGTGGAAGTTAATGGAAATATGCAAATTACAACATTACATAAATAAATAATATGATACAACAACAACAACAGCACAAACAAAATAATAATAATATAATAATAAAATAATAATATAATAATAATAAAAAATAATAATAATAATATAATATATAATACCGTACGATACAGTAGAAGACGAAAAGCAGCATTGAAAGTGCATTTCACCGTTCACCGCACTTCAACTTCACTTCACTACTACACTCATTTTTTTGCTTTGAATTACACACTGACCAGCCATTCACAGCATTCACCGCACTCAACAGCACATACTTATTTAATATCTTGTTCTAATTTGTTTCAAAACTTCGGACACTGAGAGGAAAAGCTTTGAAAACTGCTGCAGCAAACTGTTCCAATCTCTAATTGTTCTGTTACAAAAGTAAAACTTCCAAGATCTGAATTTGTTTCCTTGCTCGAATTTGTGGGTGTGATCGCCAAATAATTTGGTTTTCTAATCTAATCTGATTTCCTCAAGCGGTTGACCTACGTACGATTATAAGAGCGCAAAGCCTCGCCTTGTTCTTCTCGTCTAGAGTCCCATGACTTTTTGTTGCGTTACTTCTATAGGTAAACTATTCGCTTTTCTCTGTATTCATCTATAGATTTTTCCGGTGCGCCTTTCTGTATGGATCAAACGCAACTCGTATTCCATGAGAGGGCGAACCAGCGTAAGATATGCTAATTCTTGGCGTTTGCAGAACTTTCTTTAGATTCGCATTACAAAATCCAAAGATTTCCACGTTTTTTACTGTCTGATTTTATATGCATCTCCCACCTAATTACTATCTAGATGAATGTCTAAATATTGCATATGAGCCTCTTGGATGATAACCACCTAAACGATAGTCTGGTTCCTCATAATTTCGTCCGCCGAACGTTATTGTTTTGCTTTTAGATCCATTAATTCCCATGTATTTTTTCACCATCACATAAAGCTCTAAATCCTGCGTAATATTGTCTCTCAGCGTTATTCTTGATTTTCGGAATATAACACAATCGTCTGCAAATAAACGCACCTTTGATGTATGTTCACATGGATCGTTCACATACGCTAAGAAGAGTAATGCCCTAACACACTTCCCTGTGGAACCCTGAAGTAACATTCCCCGTAGTCGAAAACTGATTGCCAATTCGAACTTTATTTCTGTCCTAAGAAATCGCTTATCCACCTCACAACTCAGCATCAACTCCTGAGGTATACTTTCCTAATAAGTAAATTATGCGGGTACCACGTCGAATGCTTTCGCGAAGTCGATTACTACTGCATCCACTCTCCCACCCGCGTCAACTACGTCAGCTAGATCTTGAAAAAGAGAAACATTTGACTTTCGCACGAATGTTCACTTTCTAAACCAGCTGTTCGTGAAAATCCAGTCGCCTTCTCCATTCCGACGAATGCACCGCTATTAAATGCTTTGGCATACTACTGATGTGAGGGATACAGGTCTATAATTACATACTTGTTGTATCACCATTTTTGAAAATTGGACCACTATAGCTGCCTTCCAATCGTCTGGTAAACTTGCATATTAATGGAAATATTGATAATCTAAACAAATAGGGCAATATCGCCTCACTACCGAGTTTAATAAAATCGTCGAGATACGTTGGCGCGTGATTAACAGTTTGTCCAGGAGTTTTATACGATTGCGGAGTTCCCATGCGTGGAATTTGAATTGGTTTTCTACTGGAAAATAATGAACTTGCTCCCGCGCCCGTTCTGGTTTGAATACCGATACGGAATACGCGTTGAACGCATTTGCTTTTGCTTGGTCGTTGTGCAGTGGCTCGTTATCTGCGACTCGAATTTCCTGAATTTCTTCCTTATTCCCCCGGTGTGTGCGGACATATTTGTAAAAGCTTGACCAATTATGTCGTCCCGTCTCCAACATGTTTCTTAAAAATAATTCATGAGCAATTTTCTTTTCTTTTTCTAATTCCTTGTAGTATTTTTTAAACGTTATCATGTCAGCTGCGATGTCTCCTATTAAATGCTAGCCTAACTTTTCTCTTTAAACGTATTGCCCCGTTAAAATATTCAGGATCAGAATTACTTTTCAGTATTTTGCAAGGAACGTACGTATCTAAAGCGGTTTCTACGATTGTTTTAAAAGTTCCCCATTGCTCCTCTATTCCCCCTTCTGTTCTTAGAAAATTATCGATTTTTTCTCTTAAGAAACTACGTAGTTCTTCAACGTTTGCTTTTCTATACTGCCTGACTATCGTTCCTTTTGCCTTAGGTCGCTTAATTACAATTACCTGCACTTCTACTATCACTGCTTTGTGGTCGCTAATTCCCTGAAAGACTTCACAGGAAAGGAACATTTCTGCTGGATAAACAAGGAAAATGTCCAAAATTGCTCCCTGCCGCGTGGGTTTGTCGACTACCTGCGTTAATCCCTGCTCCCATACTAGACGATTGACGCGCGTTTGAAGTTTCCTGTCGCACACCTCTCCTTTCCAGTTAGCGTCGGGAAGGTTTAAGTCGCCAGCGAGAAGAATAGATCGACCGTTTCTGTTTTCCAGCCTATCACTGATTTCATCTAAAATTTGATAACCATCTTTTGGCGGCCTATAACAAGCAATAATTTCCACGGGATTTCCTAGTACGTCAATTTCCATTCCTAAAATTTCCAGGTTGTTACTAAACCAACTATTTCTAACATATAACGCTGATTTAACGCAGAGAAAAACTCCACCGCCTCTTGTTTTTCTATCACTTCGATATAATTTATAACCGGAGCGTAAGATTTCAGAATTAGCTACGTCATCTGGTAACCACGATTCTGTCCCTATCACTATATCGGCATCGCACGAATCAACTAGCTTCCAAAACTCAATGGTTTTATTAACTATACTTAGAGTTATGCATAGATTGTTTGAAAATCATTTTCATAATTGGAGCCATATGTGTAGCACAGTTCCTCAGGCACATGATTAGGATTTCATCTGAGCTGGTGGCTGAATATAAGATCAAGTTAGTACGAATTTGTCTAATTTCAATTTTGTTAAAATCGTTAAAAGTTGATTTTTTTTCCCCCATCTCATTGATGTTTAATGAAGGTTCAACTCTATAGACATCGTCAAACTCATTTGCGAAATTTCTGCAATCCTAAATGGATCCTCTATCATTTCACCATTTTATTTCTTCAGGTACATCAACTTTTGAAGAGAGCTGTTGTCGGGTGTGTGAGTAGAATCGTTTGTCTCCTTGTTTTTTAATGTCTTTCTCATTGGTTTTCCTTCATTTTCGTGGGAGTTTAATCATATCATTTGAGACTGACCTATAAATATTGTAGACATCGTTAAATCCAGTACTCTGGTATTTGACCTATAGATGCAGTTCTTTCACAGCCATTCTTTGAACTTTATAGTTTATCCAAGGTTTATCAATTATTATCTTGGTTCTCATTTTCAGTGACGTTGCTTGTAGAATTAATGCCAGCTTATCTGCACAATCACTGTAGCAGTCATCAATATTCCTGTTATTTTCCACAGCTCTTTCATATGATATTTAAGTGTTCCATTTCAGCATTTATGACTTCATAATTAGCTTTAAAGTAAATTAGTCTTAATGTAACTCAATTAGTGTCTCCCCCAAAACTGAAATCTAGTTGTGATCATTAAGTGATCACTGCATCAAATTGCAGGACTTAGGATTGGTGGCATGATATTTCATTAATTTACCATTACTAGATCCAGGGTAGCTGGAGTTTCTCTCTCTCTCACTCTCTCTCTGTATCCTGTTAGCTCTTCCATCTTCAGACTTCTGCAATTCTCATTCCAATTAATTCTTGGCAGGTTAAAGTCTTCAAATATCATCATGAGTTCCTTCCTTCTACGAACTGTTTCAATTATCTCAAGAAGTTTGAGATCAGTCTCCTGTGGTCTTGTGTCCAAAGTGGGTGGTCTGTAGATGCCAATGACAATGAAATCAACAGTCTCAAGAGTAATTATAAGTCACAATGCTTTTATCTATCTTCTAATTGCATTATGCTCCAGATCTGCAAAATCGAATTGAGGGGCAATTCTGGAGACAAAGCCTTCGACTTCCTTCACTATATACATCATGACCCATCCATCTTCTTTTCATTTTTTTTCCTACATGGTCTCTTTGATAGACAGTGTACCCTGAAATCTGTACAAATGAGACCAGAATTTCTTTGCATAACCAAGATTCTATGATAATCAAAATATCAGAATTAATCTATTTAAGTAAGGCTTTCTAAGATATTTTTCTCAAAGAAACAGATCATATTTAGCCATTGTAGATGAGATATTTGTATATATAATATCGACATTTATGGCTAAATCTCTGCTTGCTGCTACCTCTATTCATTTTCTTCATTCTTAGTTACAAGTTTTGGAATTCCTCTCAACCATATGCTAGAAACATCCTTCCTTAGTACAGGATCAAGCCTTCCAAAATAAATGTAATTGTGTTGAAGTGATGAGCCTATCTAGCTGCTTCAATATCTTTTCATCTTTCCTTGATACCAAACATAATGTTTTTTTTTTGTTTCTCATTCTGCTTTCTTCAAACTAACAGACATTATTTTATTTCAAGGTATTTTCTGTTTTATCTGTTTTATCTCTTTGCAAGTATGTTGTACTTCGGTAACAGTTTCAGATTGTTTTTTCTCAGTTAACACACGTTAATTTTTTGTCATGTCTAAATCGTTTTCACATTTTTACGAGAAAGTAAAAATTTCCATCCATTTTCCGGACATTTTGAAAATGTCACAGAGGCTTCATGTCCAGCAATCTCCAAAACTAATCATTTTGATTAAATTATTAAAATTATGGAATGACACAACTAGATCTTACTCCTCATGTGTCCATCCATCCCTCCCTCTGTCGGTGACTTACACTATATTAATTATTAGCTAGATCTGTGTGAACAGTCTGCATATTACAAATTATTGTTTTAAAGGTGATCATAGCTTCACACTGCAACCCATCTTTGAATGACCTAGCCCAGTGCTATTAGTTACATCATAATAATAAATATAATTGTAATAATTTATTTACCAATCAATACAGCAAAAGATATATATGACACGACAAAATAGTATACAGAGTATCACTTAACATGAGGTTTTATTTCAATATATTATTGCATAACTGTAATAATAAGAGAATGAATGAGTGGTTGTATCACTAGTTCACATACTTATTAATATAACCGAGGAGTGGCAGATCTGAGTACTTTGGTAAGGAGATGGCAACATAAATATTATGCATATTATAGGGAGGCAAGATCATTAGATATTGACAACCTTACTTCTGCTAAAGGAAATTTTTTTAAAATAAATAATTTATGCACAGTAATTTCTCAATTTATTTGCACCTTTAAATCAGTGTTTTAATAATCAATTTTCAAGGTATCATGATTCCCCCAAATAGAGAGGAACTTTATAAGTGCATACTGCAAAGCTTTTTAAATTTTGATCCTTCACTTTCTTTACACACATGTAATGCAAACTTCATTATATCAATATTATATTTTAAAGATAGAAATTATTTGCCATTTCATTACCTTTTCTAGTCCCTATTTCAGATTTGTGATAATAATTTGCAATTGTATAATAAAGAAGTTAGAAAGGGAATAAACTTTTCAAAGAGTAAGTTGATCATTTCAAATCCATCATTGCAACTCACAACTTTCTTAAGATGGCTTCCCACATTCAATATTCAGCCAGTAGCAAATAAACACTTGTCGAATCCCCAGTAGTGTGAACGGGTTTCTTGATAAGCGATGAACATTCAGTGCCTGCCACCACATACCAGTCTTTTGGTCACATCAAAGGAAGTGAACATTCACTAACCATATCAGCTGCTCGGGTTCGGGTAAGCAATAGATTGCTATTTGGCGAATGTCTAATGTGTGGAGCCACCTTTATAGTGAAGAAAATACTCACCGTTTCACTGATTCTAAAGTTCCGCTAGCAAAATCAATTATTCCAGCAGTGGGTCGAGTTACCAGCCCCACCATTCCTTTGCCCATGCCTTTGAAGAAGCCTTCTACACCTTCCTCACGAGCACCACTCACAGGTTTGGTAAACACACCAGATACTCCAGCAACAACACCCTACAAATTATCATACTTCTTAACAATTTAAACGAGTAATTTTTAATGTCTCCTTAAATTTACAAATTCTAAAATTACACATTTTAAATGCTCTCAAGAATGGCTTTCTGACAATTTGGAATAAATGTATGAGCATTCCTCAATTATTTTATTTCAATTCAACATAAAGTAAAACAGTTCTTTTGAATTAAACTGAAAATAATTTGAAAAAGTATTCTTACCATCACAAGACCCTTTCCACTTTGAGCAAGACCTGTGTGGAGATTAGCTGGTCGTTGGGCAAATTGCTCTCTTCTTTTACGTTGATAGTCTTTATCAAAAGTGAGAGCTGCCACACCCTTACCTGTTGCAAAATCAAAATTATTTTATAACAGTTAATAACTGCATTTCCAGAACACAAATTAAGTTAATTCTGAATTTGTTAAACCTGTTCTATAGCCCCAAATAGATAATCAAAAAGGCAATTCTAAATCAAATAAACTGTTCGCTAAACATTTAGAGAGAAAAATAAATTATATCTGAATCGATAAAATTAACCTAAAGTAGATTCAACTTTTATATCTTACAATACTCATACGTGATTATTGTTATTTAAGCCCATTGCATATGATTAATTGAAATTCAGTTAACTATTGCATAGAATAATTTTGTTTCTGAGGACACTAATCAAAATAACATATTGCATTAGTAACTTACCCATGGCTCCTGCAATACGTGACATTGCACCCGCAGCTCCACCAACAGTATGTCCAAGTAAGCTTCGCACACCTAGCACCAACCCTTCTGCAAACTCCCCAGGGCCTTGAATAGCTCCCTTTGCACAAGTGAATAAAAATAAGTAGGTGTATTGAGATGACATTTATAAAAACATCAATTCAAAATCTATGAATTGTCAGTTTCCTCACAATATCTCTTTCTCTTCCCTTCTCTTAAATATGCACAAAAAGATAGAGAAATTGAGATAAGATAGATACATAGAGAGGTATAGTTACAGATATAGACCTATTATAGATAGATTAGAGGTAGAGAAAAAGAGAGATAAAAGAGAGAGGACGAGAAAAAGAGAGAAGAGGTGATAGAAAGAGAGAGAGGTAGACAGAAATAGAGTAAATTTACTAAAAATTAAATGAGTACCTGGAATGGCTCATAAAACAGATCCTCCACTCCTTGGGCAACACCCAAAACAAGACCATACGGATTTCCCAGTACATCCAGTCCTAAGACAAGTACGTAAAGTTGCTTTAAGAGCTGCCCAATATAATGTGTGCTCACTTCTGATGTCAACTGTCGTTGGGTAAGAAATGTATAGTTTCTTTCAAAATATGCCAATCTATAAAAAATAAAATAAAAAATAATTATTTTTTCCCCCCACCAAATATGTAATATGCACAATTTTAATTTTATTTATTTAATGATTCTGTATTATATGATGAGAACAAATACAATCTAAAGATTCAAATTTAAATGCAATTAATACTTTTTCTGAATTCCTAATAAACGAGTATTATATCGTAAAGAATGTACATTATTTAATATAATATTTCAGCTCTGAAGAGGTTACAAAACATGAGGGCAAAACATAAGGAGGCAATGTGAAAATAAAAATATTTAATAGCTGAGGTGATCTTTCATTGTTCCATAAGATCATTCCTTAACAATATGAAATAGCAACTATTACTGGATCAATCAGCAGAAATTATGTAATATTTTCAAACAGAGAATGCCATCACACCTCACATTCAAAAGATTCTTGTAATCTTGTAAACTTTCTGGTAAAGTTTTCAAAGATAATCCAATGATATATTGCTACTGTGACCTGAATAATCTCCAAATTCAAGATTTTAATTTATTCCTTTAAATAATCTTTAGGCAATTTGCAAGTAATTACTTGGAAAAAGGGACAGTACAATTACATTCAAATTCAAATGGAGCTGCTCACCACTCCTCCATAAAGATATAGATTCACAAGAAACAAATTAAGATAAGCTGTAAATCATTTTGGAATCTATGAATCTATGTCTAAATCATGTTGATTAAAAACAAAGGAGGACATATTCCCTTTTAATGTTAAAATATGTACCAGTACTGGGCTGCAAATAAAGATATTTTTGTTTCATCAATGAATGCTAATTAATTTGAGTAATAGCTTCTGGAAGTATGCCATAAAAAGTAAATTTTTCTTATGAAATTGTTGGGGCAATAGGCATTTAGTATCGCACTTCAAGATAAAGTCTTTTCATGAAATGAAAGTTAGGGCACTATTTGAAATGTTAAAGTGTCTCAATACAATTATTACAATTGTATACAGCTGACATACATCCATACTACACAAATGTCTGTTCTAAGTTGTAGCAATATTAGTTTCAGTTAAATGATTAAATGTAGTTTGTAAGAGATTATTATGAAACAATACCAAACATTACATTTGTTTTGACAAATGTTTACAATTTCCTTAATCAATGTTACGTTACTTGTTTAAGCTTCCTTTGCTATTAAACATTAATCAAATTAGATTGAATTGCAAAGAGTCAAGGAAAACAAGATGAAATTAAAATATTATATATATATATATATATATATATATATATATATATATATATATATATAGATATAGATATAGATATAGATATAGATATAGATATATAGATATATATATACATATATACATACATACATACATAAATACATACATACACACACATACACACACCGGTGTATATATATACTGGCAAATCTTAAAAATAATAACTCACTTAAAGACAACATCTTGCATATCAGTCAGAGTCACTCCAAGACTCTGCATCAGAACATTCAGGAAATGTGGTGCCTCCTGACCTACTCCTTTCAACCCACCTCCAGTGGAGCTTAGAGAGAAACTCAGATGTATCTACATTCAAATAGAAAGCCAGGATGAATTATGCATAAAACATTATGATTTCAAACAAATAACAAACAGTGATGAGTGTAATGCAACTACTTGAGATGCTACATGTGAACAGGATGTTGCAGAATTACCACCAGATATTATTAATAAAAGTCATAATCATGATCACGAGATGTATTTGTATATCTAATGACATAATATTCATTCACTGCATATAATTTACTTTAATTTGAGTAGGTTATAATTAAAATTATAATTTAAAATAAATTTATTGAAAGACTTTGAAGGACTCCTAAAGGAGCTTTGTAGAACATTACACCACCAAATGTGATGTTGCAAAGTTATTGACTAAAAGAGTTTTCATTATTGTGCTATGTGAATATGAAAATGAGAATCATTCCTTTGTGCCACTTTCTGAAAAATGATATTTATTACATGACAAATAAGGTGAAATAAAAAAAAAGAAGTGAAAATCATTCAACAACTAGTAATGATAATCAGGAAACTCAGTAATATATATATTTCTGTATTAAGAATTGATGTGTGTATTCCTGAGATACACCCTGAAGAAAGATTGATTGTCTTAGTGTTTGTCCATGTGATTTGAAATGTTGAATTGAGTGAAAAGCATATGCAGTTATAAACTAACTTAAAATTGATGTCAAATTAAAGCACCCTTACCATGCATAGTTTGGAAGTTATGAACTGTACAATAAGACATGTAATACAGCATAATAATTTTAATTATGAAAATAGTGTTTTTATTTTTCAGTATATGTATGTTGCAAATGAGTGCAAGTGTTTGTGAGCTATCTTATCTACTTGTGCTTTCAACATCCTCTTCTTATCACTTACTTTCATTTTTAGTTTTCCTGTTGTTCCTCACAGGCAAAGTATAAAAAAATGGTTCATTCTGATAATATAATAAATATAAACTGAACTTTAAATCTAACCTCAAATGAACATTCACTATGATTTAAATGTCTTTCTTGTGGGTTGAAATTACCAATTTTTGTTAAAAAAGAACTAAAGTTGATAACACAATATTGAATTAAAATGTCTTAACAAATGGCATTTGAAATTTGTTGTTGGAAGTGTTCAATGTTTGAGCAACGGACGTAGAAAGATTCTTGAAAGATACAGTGACATAACTGGAACATAGAATGCTTGAACTTCAAGAAGAAACAAAATCAACAAAGGTGCTATTTGTGCAACAGTCAAGTACTCTTTATACAAAAGAAGTAGTTCTTAAAAAAAATTATTATATTTAATGCAAAACCACTTATATATTTTCATATAGCTTCAATCTTGTAAAAATTAATTCTAAATATTCATTTTGTTAAAATGATTATTAATTACAATTACCTTCAAAGGTGAGAAATGCAACAAATCATAAAAGTTCTTCTGTTCTGCTGATGACATCAGAGATGCATGAGCCTTCAGAGGTTCATTCATTACCTTGCAATCTTCCTCAAAGCGCATTTGCTAGATAACCACACATACATATTAGATAGCCCTAACCAAACAATTTTATCTTGAAAATTATTTCTCTAGCCACGAGCCTCTCACCTCATCTTCATCTGAGACATCCGCTTCAATGAATTGTAGAAGAGCATTGATGAAGCCAATATCCACCTTAATGTGAAATTCTTGTACAAGAGCCTTGAAATATTTATACTGAACAACAGGTGAATGTTCCATCAAACGTTTCACTATACTTAATTCCAGAAATGGTTTGAATGCTGCAATCATATAACTTTTTTCATTAAAATTTCATTATCTGTTGATACAAATATACATCAATTGGCATTTAAGAAAATATACTCATTTTCATTTATTTTAATATTTAGAATTCAAGAAAACGTTTGAACATCTATTAACTGAAAAGAAGTCACTTTTTCCCCCTATGTCCCTTATCTGTTGAATCCCCCTCAGCACGCACGCGCGCGCACGCACACACGCACAAACACGCACACACACACACTGACGCTGGTGATGCCTATGACAAGAAATCTGATACATTTTTAAAAGCATGCAAAACATACTAGAAATATGATCCAGCAGCAGTATTGCAATTTTTTCCCTCAGCGCAGTTGAATCCACGATAATGTTAAGTATTTAGTACTTATATTGTGAATTGTTGGCAGAAGTGACTTTTCAATCCCTATATAATTGGTAATAACTTACCACTGTTGGCAGATATGCTGCGAGGCAAAGGGACAGGGGCTACCACAACAGGGAAAATACAATCTGGCATTTGGTTGTCCACTTGCAAGCGATTCACCTTTGCATGCAATTGCATTTGATGTTTTGAAGTCTTCATTTGCAACCAAAGACCAGTATTGTAGGTACGTTTCAGACGTCGACGATGTGGTTTAATCAACTCTCCCTTCTCGAAGTCAACCTACATAAAAAAAATAAAACAATAAAAACGATCTTCTGGCAATGCTGCAGAGAAATGAAACAACAAACACAAAACCAATAAAATATCAATTTATATTTTTTTCAAGCCAGTTAATTGTTTGTGTGTGTGTGTGTGTGTGGGTTTTTTTTACGGGAGCAGGGGAAAATCTTCTAAAGACACCGCGAGGCTCGCAACCCGCAGCGTGTGGGATTCATAGCTAGCCTATGCCTACCCACTAAAAACCCCTCCCTTTGCGTTGACCGCCGAATCTCGCCACGATTCTGATTCGGGGTGAAAGCCCCGATAGTCGGTGCCGCTCCATGGATTTTGGGGGAGCCAAGCTCACAAGTGTGTCTTGCGGAATAGATAGGAGAGTGAAGTTCCTGATGCACTCAAACTGGAAATACTATCACGAAAGAAAGAGAGGTCGGTGACAAATGGACCAATTGGCGACGACGATGGAACAATCATCAAATGGGCGATGGACATTTCGGACATTCCCGACATCATGACGGGATCCAAAGGGAACATGGAGAATTAGATTTTTATCTACTTCCAATTGCGACAGGGCATGGATGTTACGAAGATCAGCTCCCGATTCCGGTTTGGACGATAGGCTCCTCATGAGCCCAAGGTTGGTTTTTCCCGCGTTGATTGAAGATGTAGAACACGTGTTCTTTCATCCTCGTCCACGCTTTGGCAGATGGAAAGGAAGAACTTCACAGACTCCTCAAGAGAAGTAACCCCTGAGACCATTCGTCACTAAATGCTGAATGACACAAGAGGATTGGAGGCGGTAGCCATCTATGCCGCAAAGGTCCTGAACACGCTCCGCCTCCGAGGAAGCAGTACGAAAGAAGTGTTCCCGTATATGTCGGTGAGTGCGAAAAGCCATCCTTCCCTTCTCGCCCGATGCAATGCCTGACGGCGTTCGGCAGGGAAGAATAGGAGAA